AAACCAGAAATTAACCACTCCACCTCCAGTCCAGCAGCATTTCTCACCCAGCCCGAACTGCATGAGGAGAGCATGAGGATGGAGAAGGACCATCAGTTAAACTCTGGTATTTCTCATTTTGGTGCCCCACTCATCTGTTCCTCTCCCAGCCAGCTACAGAACATGACTGCTCTTGCACTTGAAACAGCTTCCAGCCCTTTCAAAGTCTAACTAGCTCTGAGGCTCTCCTGTCTACCAGGAATTACTGAAAAGCATTTACTAGCAAATGTGAGCTAACTATCAGATGTGGAACTTAGTGACTTAAATGTCAATCCGTCTTCCCCTGTACTCTCTCTGTGCCCTCTGGGGCCTGTGCCCAAGTGTCTCTGGGGTCTGCATTTTCTCTGTCTGGCCTGCCCAGAGTTCAGATGGTGGAGGGCACTGCTGTACTGTGTGTTACTGACGTCCATCCCAACACAGGCATATACCCCCTCCTCTCCAGCATCACAGGAGTTCTTTGCTTACCTGTGCAAAGCTCTAACAGCCATGTTTTGCTGTCCACTTGAAAACTGCACAGGAGATACTCGTCAAGAGGCACTATTGCTGAGGCATTAGGTGTTTGGATATCCAAATGAGCTATAAATGACAGAGCATTATCAAGACCTTCATTTCAGGATCAACAGCTCAGGCTAAGCTGCAAAATAGAGATTGGAAGAGCACAACGAAAGATTTCAATGCCTATTTTAGGATATACTAAGGAGTCAGCCCTGCTGGCAGTAAGAACACGCTATTTGTGTGTTTTCAGATGGCCACATCAACACATTTAAAACTTGACTGAAGGCTCAAGCTTGACCCTCGACAAAGATCACATTTTGACGGCTTCACCTCCACCGTTCTGTCTCCCATGAATCCTGAAAGGCAGCAAACACTTCAGTGATGCTTAGTCAGAACATAACCCACTTTTCTGAGTTGTTCCCAGTGCTTCTGTCAGAAGGGGACGGATTGTAATGCCTCTCAAAGACAGTGAATAGCAGAGGACTGCTTTAAGCTATAATGAGGTCTCATTACTACAAGAGATCTTGAAGGACAAGAGCTTGGCAGCACTTAGTGATGCTCAGGAAGTCAGAAAAAAAGAACAAGATTGTCTAGAGCTGGAAGAGCAAATGTTTTTCCTGAAAAGGCACCTGATTTTCCATATGAATATCTTGGGCTATCATTTACACCAGAGACTAAAAGCAGTGTAAAATCAAGCACAGCAGCGTTCTGCTGGCTTTGCTCTAGCATAAGCAGCTCCGAAGAAACTACCAAAAACCCATATACAGCAGCATATACTCATTGTATATATATTGTATAGGAGTAAAAAATTGACCATTAATAACAAGAAACTTTCCCTGGGAGGATGAATTGTGAGAGAACTACAAACTCTTGACACTCTTTGAAGCTCCCTGCAAAACAGCTGCACTTACTACTTTTGGATAATATCTTAGACAAGATTATGGTAATCTCAAAGCACTAGCATTACTCCCTAGAAATTATTCATCTTTTCCCCAAAGTACATTTTCATAAAGCTTGAACATAATTTGCAGCAAATGCTTTTGTCTCTCAGTTTCATTTTTACAAACTTCCATGAATTAAAAGAGTTTATCTCAACTGGTATTATCAGCCTGCACAATTGAATATATTTTAATTAGAAGAATGAGTGAGAGTTTAGCCTATTTAGCTAATGACAAAATATCATGTTCTCCATTTAATTAGGACACAACAAAATGTTCATAGTTAAATTCTCTTCAATGTAAGAGTGAAACAAATGTTACAGCATGACTAGGTTACTCCCTATAAATACCTCATACAGTGTTAGACACTGAGATGCAGAAAAGAATCAAAACAGAAGGTTTGGGAACTGTTTGGCAGCTAACTTGTAGCAGAGCAGATTTCAATGTCCTGCAGATGGCTAATGCAGCACCTCCTGTCCTTGCAGAGATGGCAGCAGCACTGGTTATGTGACGAAAGGTTCCCAAGGTCCAGGCTGTTCTGACTATGGTTTGGTGTTATAAAGACTATAAACAGAAGGAGCCAGACATCTCTCTCACTTACCACCTCATCTTGGTTGTTGCACGAGCCCATCCTCCTGCTAGTGGTTGTTGGCATCACACTGGGATAGAGGCAGCAGGTGTGCATCCAACTACTAGTACTGCACACAGGTTGCAGTTGTGGGGTTTAGCACAGTGCTAACTTCCAATCCCTTCCCTACTTTTATGGATCACTTTATTACAATGACACAGAGGTGCTGTCCTCCTAGATGCCTCTGATGCAAGCACAGAGAGCCAAAGCGCAAATAGGCTTTTAAACCTTAAGAATCCAAAAAATATTTGCTATGTGGGGAAGGAAAAAAAGATACCTTACAGGCTGGTGGTGACATCCAGTTCAGGAAAACCCAAGCAACCTGCAGTCCAAGCAAAGCTCATTTCTCTGCTCACTGCCAAGAGCTCTTTCAGATTATGGAGTCTTTCCTACTTGGCTACTTCCTAGGACTTTCACAAACCTGATATTGATGGTTTCAAATGGTCTCATAGCAAAGAGGTTTCTTAAAGTTTTTCACTGATTTTGTTCCACTTACATAAAGCATATGCTTTCATCTTGCTGTGTTCTAAGAGCTCTACCAGGAACAGAAAAACTCGTAGCACTAAATTGTCCTTTCTCTTACATTCTTTCCTTCTTGCTTTCAACGTGCCAAACTATCCCAGCTTTGCTACTAATCTCTGCAGGAGTTGGCTGCCTGAGCAATACCCAGGTGATATAAAAGGTGTTAACTCCAGAACAGTAAATCCAGGAAGGTGACCAACCAGAGAAAGTGCCTGACTTCACTATTCTACAGCGTCTCCTGGGAAATCAAGTCTCCAGAGCTTCCCAGCATTTAGCACACTAGGAGAACTATAGCTCCAGAGAGTGGCTCAGCAGACTGATTACTGAGAAAAAAAAATAAATCTCTGTTACTAAAAATTAGTTCCCTTCATATTTCATCGTGGCTCTTGTCACCATTTCTTGTGCTTATCTCAAAAGTTGGGCTTTGTACTGTCTCTTACATTTTCATGCATTTCTTTTATCAACCCTCTTTTAAGACAGTAAAAAAGAGTAAAATTATTTGACTGCTCATAGATCAGCAAATTTCTTGTTCTGAACAGCCACCTCTTTCATCTGTCATTGTCACCTTCTCCAAGATTAATAAGAAAAAGATTTGTACATATATAAGGCACAGCCTGTTGAAAGCAGAGATGAGCTTGATACAAAGGATACTAACTGTAACTTTTTTTTAGCTCTACATTGATCCCAATAGCTGTAGATACTTATAAATCTTTTGCTGTACTGTCAGCACAAAAAAGAAAAGCATATCAGGAAATAAATTCAGCCAGCATCAGTGTGTGCCCCAGGTAAGCTGGAGCATGATTTCTTGACTCCTTCTGACCACGACAGGAGTTGGAATTTCACCTTGCATCTGTCAGAGTAAAAAGAAATTTTTTCTTCAGCGGGGAAGGGGAGGAGACACCAAAAGAAGATGGGGAAAAACACAACGCAGCGGATTGCGTTTGTATAGATGGGTGTAAGTGCTGGAAGAACATCAGTGTCACCTGCTTCAGAGGAGGGGCAAAGGGGCCCAGGGTTTAGCACCGGCAGCAAAACATTAACACTACTGCACAATTACAGAGTACTCAGTATGTATTCAGCCCCCGTGTGTTTTTCTAGTGAATTGCACTCCAACTGTATGAGAGCTTGTGGACACCAATGGAGCTGTGGATTAAGTTCCTGCAGGTGCTGCAGTAACTGGAATGTATAGATACATTCTATAGCTACACCCCCCCTAACTGGCAGGAGCGCTGTTCAAGAAAGTTGAATTAAAAGCAGCAAAGGTTTTCCCATTTTTCCAAAACTGAGAGCCCCTTCTTTAAAGTTCCCATCTCTTCAATGTTTGTTAGTCCACTGCTCTGTCATCAGGCTCCTCACATTTTACATGCCCCTCCTGGGGGATCAGGGCTTCTCCCTTCTCTTTAGTACAACAGCTGAAGAGGAGCATTTCCACTGTCCTGCTGCTCTTTTTCCACCACCTCATCACCTCTGAGGTATTTGGCAGCTCCACACAAATGATGCAGTCAGTCAGACATGAGAATGATGGTTTCCTGACAGACTAGTGTTCATTAATGCTTTAAAATAAGACTTAAAAAAAGAAGGGCAGAATCCAGGTTACACAGAATTTAAGAAGGAGTAGCTGTCACAATCCAGGCATTTATTGCATTTTCAACTCATAAGAGAAGTGACAAAATAGAAATGTAAGAACAAGAGAATACAGATGTTTTAAGATGTCGCTTGGTTCACCACTAGAGGTAAAAGCAGGGTGGGTGGATGCGAGATGACACCAGTTATTAATGGGATTTTTGCCACTGAAAGAATATGGCAAGGTGCCTGTAGGGTGCTGCTTCATTAACCACCATTAGTCTTCCATTTCACAAGTGAATGGGTGAACAATTGATGCCTCTGGGCTCCTCCAAAGTTTTGGGTTGTTTGAGGGTTTTCTTTTGCTGTTGTGGGGTTTCTTAATAACATCTCTATTCTAAAAGTGTGAAGCTCTCCCTTCATAGAGCAGGCATGTGTGTTCATCACAAAAGTTAGTACTGAAGAAATACTATGACAAGAGCACTTGGGATGTCAACCAGATCAGAAATAAAATCTGTCTTAAAATTTGGTCTTGGCAGTTAGCACCAATGGTTCAGAGAGTCCCATGGTACCTAAAGGCACCACAGCCTCTGCCCAATCCTTTGCATGTACCAATAACAGCTCTCATCAAATTTTATATCCTTCCTGAAATGTTGCAGTATTAATTTAAGAAACCCCAGAATATCTCTTCACCCTCATTCTGTCTCCACACTCTAAGCTTCTTGGGGCCCATGTGCCAAGTGGGTGCCTGCTCCACAGACAGCATTTGCAGGTGCTGCCAGAGCTGAAAAAGCAGCAGAGAAGGTGGGAATGAAGGTGAAGGGGTCACTTAACCAGGAGAGGTAAAGCACTGCAACACTTCATTTTAAATGGATTCGATTTTAATGCCCACAATCATGGCATAAAATGTTAGACAGCAACACACAAAAGTCTCTGGGGAGTTCTCCACTTTTGAAGCCAGACACAAAGCTGAGAGAGAGCCTTTATGATACAGGGACAGCCACCTGAATTCACAACATTGAACTAGAATTAAAAAAATAATAGTGATAATAGCCTGAAGGACTGAGGAGAACTTGGAAGCAATTCCAGGGCACATACATGCAGCCTTCTCCCATCAAATCTGCATGCTGAAAAAGATGATTCTTCAGGGTTAAAAACCAAACAAAAAGCAGTTGCATCATGCCTGTCTGCTGTTGCAGACAGGGAATCGTGGGGAATTTGTGTTTATCTGTCTTTAAAGAGCTCTGATCATACTCAACACTGTGACAGGCATCCATGATGTCATCAGGTGGACCAAGCAGGAAAACATTTTATTTTTACAGTCATAAAATCTCCAATAATCAGCAATGGAAAGAGAAAGCTCCATGTCTTTCTATGGGAGTTTGGGGCCAGACTCTAGTAGTCCAGCATGCGAATAGCTGGGAGTATGGATCCAAGGAAGGCATTTCTAAGAAGGAGAAGGCTTGTTTATGAAAAGAAGGAACAACTCCTATGTAGGATCACTTGTGTTTCTTTTCATCTTCTCTGCTATGGTGGTGTCTGGATCTACCCATCTAGTAAGAAACCAGTATTTGATCCTATGTGGAAATATGGAGAAGACAGTGGAGAGACTAGGGAGAGGATGGCTTTCCAGTGAGCAGGCAAAAGTATTGGCTAGAAATTAATTTGTGTGAGCTGGAAAAGCAATTGGTGCAGATGCTACAAAATGCATGAAAAGATGACTAGTCGGATGATCTGAGATCCCCTCTCTTTTGTGGTGCCAGAAGCAGAAAGCTTGCAGGTTGGAGAGAGTTCTTCTATGAAGTGTTTCCATTATCAAACTGTCTGTAGTGGAAGAGACTCCTGAAGTCCAATTTCCCAGAGTATTTGACAGCTTCAGCAAAAAGTTTTGTCACCTGCCAACACAAAGCAGAGGAGGACTGAGCATTGCAAAGCCTTCTGCAGAAGGCTAAGTGATAGAGCAGGCTCCATGCTTCTACTCTGTCACCCTGAAATTACCCTGTGCAGGTCTAGTCCTTGAGTCCATCCAAATCAATACCAGTCGTGCACAGGTGCTGGCTACAGCCCTCTGGAACCTGCCTGTCCAGCTGGAGAGACATAGATGTGCTGGGCTTCCTTGGCAAGACAGCTCTGTCCCATGAGAGCTGTTGTTTCTCCATACAGCCCAAAGCTAAACAGAACCAAGGTAGCTTTCCTCTCTCAAACTCAGAGATTATAACTCTGCCATCAAAACAGTTCAGTGAAATGCATCAAGCAGGTGCAGTAATAAATTTTGGATGGGGACCCCTGTTCTGGTTGTCAGAGTGTTTTGCTTGTAGGCAAAGAATGGGTCTTCAATTCCCCATTCCTTCTAATGATGTCTGACATCATCCAGTCTATGAACTTACAGTTTGGCATTCTCTCTGCTCTCCACTCACTCCGATCACAGCAGAAGATTTTGCACAGCTGGACACCAGTTCAAGTCACTGGGTTTCATGTCAGCACCCACCAACATCAATGGGAGTTTGGCTGCTGTTGCTTAATGAGAGCCAGATGAGGCTCTTTGGTGACAGTGGAAGCCACTTGCAAAGGAAGGCAGGGTACTGCTGGCAGCAGGAGTCCCACTTTGCATTACCAAATATCTCTTCCCCTATCAGTATGTGAAAGGGGTTTGTCAGGAGCTACAGACATGTAATGAGTAGCAATTGGGGACCACAACAGCACAGGCAGCAATTCCACTTGGATGACACTTTGGAACTGGATTGCCCCAAGGATCATTTAAGAAAGCCCAGCAACATCCTGCTGTAAGATTTAAGGACCATACTGGAAAAACATCCCACTATAAAGTTGTTGCCATGCATAATTCAATCATGTTACAGGCAATCCTGTGTGAGAGGTTTGCTCTGAAGTGAAAATGATGCAGTACAGGACTCGGGATTTTCTTGTTTGTTTTTTTTTTTTTGCTTTGTTTTACTCAGAACAGCGTTATTTTGTACAGTAGCAAAAAGAAAACACATTCAAACCAATGCGTTGTCATGATTTTCAGATACATTATTTGTCAGATAATGAGGGTACAGACATTCTGGAATCTATGGTCACAAGTGCTTGCAAGCTCTGAAGGCTCTTATGTCTAAGAGGAGAAGGAACAACATGGGAAGTACCTGGAAGTTAGTGAGAAGAGCAATCCCGCTGTCAATAGCCATCCTCCGAATCACATAATTATCATGGACAAACTTGGTGTTGCTGTTGGGAAGGTTAATCACCAGATCTATTTTCCCATCCCTCACCAGCCTGAAGAGAGAATTCACAAGAAAGTATCACAGTGTGTCCCACCTAATAAAGACCTCTGATGAATAGCACAGGCATGGAGACAAACAACACTGAAAATTTTCATTTGAGTTTAGTCTTCACCCCAAGAAACAAGGGGTTAAAGGCACTAAGCTGCAACTCAGGAATTTGGGCTTTATTTCTGTTCCAATCAGCAATGCAAAGCAATATTCAGCCTTCATACAGCCCAGCACAACTCTGTTAAAGGCATGACTGACTGTTGTTAAAGGCTAAATATTCAGATTCCATGTATTCTTGCATGAAAGTGTAACATGGAGCAATACCTCCAAACCATATTAAATAGGACCACTCAATGAGATGTTCATTAATCAAGCTGAAAACTCCCTGCTGGGGCAATTCCAGACAGAATCAGATAAACCAAAACTTTTGGATTGAATCTAAGTCCCACTGATCTCAATAGGGCCAGCACTTTGCCCCTTGTATTTGCTGTGCTGGATGTTAACACAATTTTGATGAGGTGAGCATTACTCTTACCTCCTGATGGGAGGGAGGCTTGAACTCTGGCTTTCCTGTGATGGCCATGCCACAGGATTTGCTGGGATACCATTAGCATTGAGCCAGGATGAGGTTCCTTCTGTGGCATAAAGCTGTCAAGGAGAAAAAAAAAGGTTATTTACTGTGTGCTTCTCCATACCAAATCTTTTCATTTAACTCATGTGGTCTGACCTAACACACAGTCTTGGTTGTCAGAGCTGATTTTGGAGGGAATTTTTCATAACAAAGGTGTCTCTCCATACAGAGAGACACAAGTACAGAATGACTTTCCCAGATTTCTCTTATCTGGGATTTCCTGATGGATGATAGCCAACGAATGGCAGTAACACATCCAGAAGCAATGAAGTGACTTAGAAGAAACTAAATCCCTCTGACTTTCAACAGGGCTTAAGTTCAATCACTTATGATTTTTTTTGCCACTTCCTTTTTTTTTTTTCTTTTTTCAGGCCTAGCACTAAGCTTTGAAAGGCAGAACTGTAAAAGCTCTCACCAGTCTTCTGTGGCTGTGTTGGTAGTTGCCTTTCTGTAGAGACATGGATGCCAAATGATGCAGAAGAGTTACAAGAGGGATATAAAAACACCACAGAGTTCATATCTCTGCAGCTTGTGAATATCACTGAAAACCTTTTATAGTAGCCCTATAAAAATCTTCTCCATACAAAAAGTTTTCTCTTCCTTGTCTCCTGCCACACATGGCATCCTGTTGGCATTTTTGTTTCTTGGAGAACTTAGAGGAGTTTATAATGTCCATCCTGGCTGCAGGCTGATAGCAGAGCTGGAGTTGTTCCTGCCCTCACAAGTCCCATATAATGAAGTAATCACAAAAACTTTTAGTTGGGTGATACCTGCTGACTTCATGGATCACTCCGCTTAAAATTCCTGTTCTACATTGAAAATATCCTTTTTTTCTCTGTCTCCAAAGAAACTCCAACTTGTTCCTGCAGCAGGCTGAGGACATTTCAGATTTTGAAAGCTCTCTAGCTTTAAATAACTGAAACCACCTACCTTGAACCCTTCCTCATGCAATAGTTCTGCTATGCTGAGGAACCTGGGGCGGAAGGACTTCTGAAAAAGGAAATTTTTTAGATGCAGCATCAAAGCTAGGATTTAGAGACAGTGCTTTGCTGGGCAAAATGAAGATCCTCGAGACTGTGCTAAGAGGCAAATACATCTTTCTGTGCTGAGAGCATGTGTGGGGGTGCACAGAAATTTCTGCATGTGCTCATACAGAGCCATTCCCAAGACAAACATCTGGATCCTGAAGCCCAGGTCACTCCCAGCTAAGACATATTTTGTTACAACACCAGGGTAAATTTTCTCATACTAAGTTTGACTGCAACTACAGAAGATTTACTACTGCATATTAAATATCTAGGCAATTGCCTTCTCAGATACACTAACTAGAGTCCCCTCTGCTCTTAATTAAATATTTTTTCAATCACTGCTCAAACATTTGGCTTTCTCTTGTGGTAGATAACATAGATAGACAGGCTTTGGGCTGCTTTTGGATGCTCTGTTTGCACATTCCCATGGATAGGAGTCTGTGTATGTGTGAGTTCATGTCTAACTGCCACAGGCATATGGAAATGGAAGACACAAAACCACTCAGGAGACTGGGACATTGTATTCCCAAAAGGACCTGAATCCCCAGATACATGGGGCACCTTTGAAAGGTTCTCTCACAATGTAGACCCAGATCCACTGCAACTGAGAAAGGTAAGACAACCTCCTGCAGATGTCTGCACTTGAACAAGCCATTTTAGAGGAAAAGGTGAGTGAAAATTTGATGCTAGCATAAGTATCCTTGGGATGTTGAAGGTACAGCAATGCAAAGATCAGATGCAACACATGCCCTTCTCAATGCTAAGGCAAGCCAAAGCTTGCTTTTAACCTTAGCATAGCTTGGCCATTGCAAGTAATATTACTGCAAGCTCCCTTGTCCCTGCTGGAGCTACTGATAGCTTAACCTCTATGGATGAGAGAGCAATATTCTGAAGGGTGAACAATTTTCTACGAAGAAAGGGAGTAAACAGGGTTTTTTTCCAAGCACTCTGGAAAGAACCTCATTCTGAAAGCCATCTCATTCTGCACATTAACTGGAAAATATAAATATACAATGTGACAGGGTTGGCAGCTTCCCAGTCAGAGAGAAGGGTTCTGCCTTCTGGTGAGGAGAGTTGGCTTTCACAATAGTATTATAAACTTCTATCAAACATGTACTGAACATTTGTGACACATAAAACAGCCTCTCCATGAAAAGAAATTACAGCTGTCAGCTTGCATTGGAGCAGCCTTAGATTTACAAGCTGGCTGAAATAACCTGTGTAAGAAACCATTAGTTACTAAAGGTGAAAAGTACAAGCAGATTTATTTAGTGGAAGATATTTATTGAAGGAGAATTGTATTCTTTTTCCTTTATCAAAAAAGTTCCATTTCTTATAACCCCTCTCATGTTTGCCAGCAAGCAAGTATTTGTAAAGGGCTACATCCTCAGTTCATTCAGTACAGCTACACCAGTTCTCACTGAGATCCATCACTATATGAAGCCATCTCATGTCCTGTGATAATCTTGAATTCTGCATCCAAATCCACTGTGGAGGACAGAAAAATTCTGGTACGTAAGGAACTAAGGCTGAAGGTTACCTTGAAACAACAGACTTGGAGGGCTGGGATTTAAGACTAAAATACTTTATCAATGCTTTCCGCATCTCGTGGTCACCAGCACAGATGTAAGACAGATGCACTCCATCCCAGAGATATCACTGAATAGCCCAATCAGGAAAGAAAAAAAAAATAGCTTTTCAACTCCTCTTGCATAAAATATAAATTATTTAATGACAGACTCAGGGTTTCAGCATCATAGATTTCTCCAGATTGTGAAAAGAAAAGAGGTCAGATTATCAGCTTGCATAAACCAGCAGAGATCCATTTGCCTAACAGGGAAGCCGTACTCAATCTACCCTGGAAGAGCATCAGGCCTCTAAAATCCCAGGAATCTTCAACCTGTGCAGTGTCAGAGAGTGCTCACAGCTGAAGGACAACCCAGCAGGCTTGTTGTCCCAGCTGACTGCACAACCTGCCTTGTGCTGTCCCTCAGATGTCAAGAAACACTCACCTGTCTGACCTGGAGGATGATTTCTTGGTTACCCTCACCTTTGCATTGCCACTGGAACTGCAACCTGTACATGCACCAGCCTGGAAGCCCCTCAGCAAGGCTGGGCTCATTACCTGGGCACACTGGGACCAGTTTGGACTGCAGATCACAGCACAGCCATTTGCCTCTTGATTTGCAAAACACCACAGAGTGAAACATTTGCAAGAAAATCGAGTTCTCCCTTTCTACTCCTGTTAACTACATCCCTTTGACTTCCACCTTCAGCATCCTCTCACGTCACCATGATTAATAGCAATGGCATAAAGGTGCAGCATACCAAATAACCAAAATATGAGCCTAGTTACTTTTGAGGGAAGTAGAATACAAGACAATGTGGCTTCTTATTTCTCTTTCTGCAAGGGTTGAAGAGCAAGCTGCTAGTCATGAAGCAATGAAGCCTCTGAAAGTGCTTTGAGTTCACTACCCACTGCAGAAGAACCACAGCACCTTCCTCAGACAACCAAGGGGACTTGTGTACGTGCTCCTGACAAGCATCAACCCCCAGAGCACCAGAACAGCTTGGAGAAACCATCCCATGGTGTTCTGGTGTTCACAGCCTGCCTGATGCCTCCTCATTCCTTATGTCTCTTGTTTCTGCAGCGAGGGACTCCCCTTTCCTCCAGCTAAATACACAGGGAAGACCACCTACAGTCTATATGTCAGGTCTAAGTCAGCATTTCAACCTTCTCTTCTCACAGGGCTTTATTTCCCCTATGTTTCAAAGCAGACCATTGAAAAGTAGGTAGGTGACAAACTACAGAGTGGGGAGGAACAAATACCTGGTTCTCAGCAGCAACTTTATACTTTTTGATTTGGAATTTAATTATATAAGAAATATGCTGAGATGTAGAGAGACCTTTAAGCGATTGATCTAATTTTTTCAAGTTTCTTTCGCAAGAAAATGAATGGTAAAACCACTCATTAAAAAAAGACAATCTTGTTATTTTAAAAAGTTTGTGGAGTTGAGCTTTTGGCTTTATCTCTTCTTTTTCCCTTCTTTTTTTTTCTTAACACCTTTGTGCAAAGAACATTTGGCTCAGTTTAACAGCTACTGACACAAAACTTACATAAATGCTTTCTATAGCTAAAATTACTTTTTGCTGCCTGTTCCCCTTTAGCTGCTATCAGGAAAATAGACTTATATTTTAACCATTTTCTTCTCCTGGTTTTGCTTTTCTCCTTTTTAAAATGCTGTTTTTTAAATAGGCAGGTGATTAGATATACAGTAGACACACAATATCAACTGCCCAGAGTTTCATGCTTAATTTTAAATTTTATCTAGGTAGCAAGCAAAGACTTTTCTGCTAATTAAAGGTAACGAAGCAACAGCTTCCATCCACAGATGTGTGTATATGTGTACACTTAAGGACTCAATGGTAATCTGTGTTAGCAGAAATCGAGCTCCTTTCTGGCAACTTTCAGGGGTGGTGACAGCAAGACATGAAACCCTGAAGTCCAAGCTCTAGTCTGGCATAGAGTCACTGGACGTGCAGAGTATGTGTCTGAAAGGCAGTCCCTAAGAGGAGAGAGCTCTGGCAAGGTGTAGAAAACAGAAACATCACTACACAAATATAGTGTTGGCTCTTCCTTTCTGAGCTACTCCTCAGAGACAGGAGCTGCAGGGTAGGGAACAATATTGGCTGTGCACCATCATCAAAAAGGGCAAGGAATAATGGTAGAAGTGGGCTGCAGGGTGAAGACTGTTGTCCTTTAACCCCTGACCCCTCTGTACTTGATTATATTCCCATCGTGACTCCAACAAGGAGAGGAATCTGCCACACCTGTCGAGGCCTCATGGCCCGACAGCCATGAGTTAAATCAATGACTAGCCCACAACACCCCAAAACCATCACATTTTCTGCACTGTCAATGATGCTACAGCTCTGCCTCCAATGAAACATGCACCCCAGGGGAAAGCTTAGCAGGTCCAGCTTTGCAGCCTCACTGTCTGGGGGATTGGAGGGAAACTGGTTTCAAAAGGGCAAGAGGCAATGCACAGAGGTAGAGAGTTTATATGATTATATGATGAAAGTTTATATGATTATATGGTGAAAGTAACATTGCCAGGACTCCCATCTGGGAAGGGGCATAGAGTGAGCTCTATGGGTTCTGTGGGTTCCAGCTGGGATGTTTCTCTGAACTACCTGTCTAGAGGTTTTGTTCCACAGAAAGGTGGCTTCTAGCTCTCTGATCTCAGGCCTCTGCTTCCAGCAATCCCCGGGGGTTTCCCCCACCAAACTTCTGCAGCTCCCAGTTGAAACTATTAGGAGACAGAGGTAAAACCCATCAGGCCAGCATATTGAATCCAATAAAGATCTCTCCATAGCCTTTGTTCCTCATTGTCTTACTGTACTTAGGGATGAATTGCAGAAAAATACATTTAAACCATAAAGCCACATGAACGAAAACAAGGCAAGAGCTACTGAGTTTCTCTGTGTCAATCCTTTCTCAGCTTTGATTTTTAGGACTCACCTGGATTCCAATCAAAATTCCTTCCTTAGGAAATGTAAACCCTGTGGCAAGCATAGCCTTCTGGAAAGCAGAATACACATTCTCCCCAAAGCATGCAACCTGGGGAAAGGCACAAAGAAGGCAACGTGAGGGGAAAAACCAAAAACAACCCCGAAAAAAAATTGCTTTAAAAAGAAACAGGAATGAAATTTTTAAACAGGCTTTTCTGATTCTGCTTAAAGAAGTCAGACTGCATTTGCATGGAGCCTGAAGGCATGGGGAGAGTGGGAATAAATCAGAAAATCATTGTAGACAAATCTCATCATTTTAATGAAGCAATAACGAAGGAATAAGCAACACTTTAGTTTCAAACAGCACACTGAGGAGTAACAACAACTGATTCTGCTGAGCTATTGGAATGCTGTACACAGCCTCTGCTCTAATGATTGGGAGTGCACTGCAAATTGTTCAACATTATATAAGGCTTAAACACCAGTGAGGGTTCTGCACACAGGCAAGTTCCTCTGTGTGGCTGCAAACCAGGGCAAGGCAGTGCTTGTGCTCTCCTGTGCTCCTGGCATTTCTTGGGAAGGAAAACCATGGTATTTAAGGATGCTTTTCCATTAAAAGTCCACAGATACATAAAATTCAAGTAAAATTTGAGTATTTACTTAGAAAAAAACCAAAGCAATCATGCCAATTCATAATAATTTATTTTATATTAAAAAATTCTGAGGAAGAAACCAGTAAGAATCATTTAGCAGTTCTCCAGCATTCAGAACTGGCTGTGGAGCTCAGTTGCTTACAGACTGTCATACAGCAACAATCCTCTGAAAGAGCTAAACCATATTCCTTGCCAAAATTTGGAATTCTGGTGACAAAAACAGGAAAGCATGAGATTTTGTGAAAGTTAAAAAAGGTAGAAAAACCCCCACAACCAAAAAATCAATCAACCCTCACTTTTCCTGGCCAGCTCCACGCTTGTTGAAAAACAGTCAGAAGCAGAAACTGTCACAGATTTTTCTCTTTGAAGCAACAAATCCATTGACATATACAGATTGGATAAAGGGGCTGATTGAGAATAGCTTTCCCATTTTCCTCTTATGGTCCTTCCCATTCCAGAGTTAGCCCTCACATTCATGGCCTCACTATTACCATGTCGAGGACAAACCAGTATTTCATGAAAGAAGAACAAATGATGATTTGCCAGATCTTCTGAAGTAAAAAAGAACAACTAAACAAACAAAAATCCCACACGGGAAGGGATAAAAAAAAGTCATGATAACTGATATCCCAGCTTTCCTTTAAAAACTCATCCTTGAGTGTTCACACTGCTCTACAGTGTATTTATATCCTGCGTATATCCTGGACTTCTTAGAGTGATGGACAACCCCACATCTTGTAGGCTTGGAAAAGGGGATTCCAGCCTGCCAGGAGAGGTTTTTCATTATGGTCAAAACAGCCACAATAGTCAAAGAGACAGATGTAACAAATTCAAGCCCAGATCAAGCCATGTGTGTGAAAAACCGCTTTGAGGAATAATCGAGTATTTTACCCAAAGCAAGCTATTATCCTTACTTCACTCATAAGAAAGACTTTTGTAACTGTCACACTTTATGGCATTTGTGAATACGGATCTTTCTAACTCATAAAAGTTAATAATCCCTCCTTTATGACCATGGTAATCTCTAACCCTGTATAGAACTGGGGTTTTTTTTTGGGGGGGAGGAGAGGTTGTGTATTCAGTTGTGTTCTGAAAATGAGGAAGTCACAGAAGCCACTTGACTATTTTCTGCCCATTAACTACACCGAAAAGAAATCTTCTGCAATACTGATTTCCCACACATTATGAAGAGTAAAATAATTCTGGAGAGATGTAGGAGACCTAAGGCTGTTCTTCGCTTGCATCTGGGTAGAATGCTTTCTTGTACCACAATGGTAAATATTTCCTAATAAAAACAGCTCCTATAGACCCAGCCAAGCCCACATCCAATAAAGCAGCCCAGACTCTGCCACCTCCTAGCTGTGGGAGTGCAGCATTAAGCCTAATCTAATTGCCTCGATATTTAATCACTTCCCAGAATAAGTTCTGGACCAGAATAAGTTTTTGCTACTGCAACGCTTTCTAGAAGTAACAGAGAAAGTAAGTTTAGAGATTGCTTGAGTGTATCTAAAGAAGCCCTTGATAGCTCAGCAAAACTCATAAAGAAACCTCTTTGTTCTACATGAGTAAATGTCTCTCCAGGTGATATAGATGGAATCCTGTAGCCCAAGGGCGAGGGTGATGAGCCTGGGCAGAAGATGAACAGCCCTGTGCCCTTACAGTGTGCCATGTGTACACTGAGAGATGTCTCAGAAGCGCCTCACAGCCCAGCTGTAGCAAGAGTGGGTAGAGCTGCCCAGTCTCTTCATCCTACCAACAGTCATTAATGCAGCCACCACGTTTTATTCACTCTTTCTCTCTTTTTGCACCTTGGGACATGCCTTGATGGTTATTAGGCAACAAGAAAACACCACACGTATTTTCTGCCCTTAATTAACTGTTCCAAGACCAACCGCTCACGACCCGGAGTCTCGACATCACTGTTCTAGCACGTGTTCACGGGGGGATTGGAAGCTGTAAGGACTTGTCTGTCCAGAAGCAGACCATTCATAAAACAGACTGATGCAGGGAGAGCCTCCCAGAACCCGACAGCTCTCAGATAAACTCATTGCAGGCTGTCACACCAACTAGGTCCAACTCAGAGAGCTGACATGCAGGTAAAGAGGGACATCCAGTGGCTGAATAAACTGGGTTTTCCAAGACATTGTTTTCTACAGCTAAGAAAGATGTTTTCAATTTTCTGAAGAGGCTACAGATTCCATCATGATTCAGGCAGTAATAAGATCACTTTCTAAGATTCATGATGTTTAAAGTTAACTTGGTTTAAAAAAAAAAAAAAAAAAGGGATACCTCCCCAGTAGAGGCCATTTCACATCGGAGAACAGGGTCAGCATCTCTCAGCCGGGACCAGGAGAACACTGGAGCCTGGTGAAACAAAGAGGAAGGAGGGGGAAAAAAATAAATTAATTAATTTATTATTAGTTAATTAAAAAATTCCAGCTATGCTTGGAAGTGACAGAAAGAGACAATTTATCCAAAAAAGCAGTGGTCAAGGCTGATAAGCAAAGGAGTACTTGGCAAATTAGTCCCCTCAGCACCCTAATGATGGACTGGAACAAATAAACATGTGTTTCACCAATAAATCAATTATCTAACTCTTGCAGTCCTGCTCACATTCCAGTGGTAGATTTTCAGTCAGTGGTAGCCCATTATCAGTCTCATTTTAAGGACAAATTTTAAAATAGAAAGGCTAGGAAGCATCTAACTCATGGAACAAGGAGAGATGCTATATGAATCCAGTGGGTTTTTCTGAGAAAACTGTTCTCTATGAAATTTTTCATTCACAAAAATAAAACTATTCCACAAGAAAACACTCTTTTGGTGTAAACCAGATGAAACTTCATAAATTATTTTCATATTTTTCTTCTCCTCCCCAAAATACATACTCATAATCTTTTGTATGAAAATATTAAACCCCTTGATCATTATTATTATCTGAGGACTTAGGTCACTGCAGTCTCTGAGTTCTCTTGTCTAATTTGATCTTAAAATAACAAACAAGGAGGGAGGAAAAGAAACTCTGTTAATAACCAAAGACTACACGTGACAAACAAGGAACAAACTTCCTGCTATGGAATCATTTTCTATAGGGCTTCTCCACATCTGAAATGCCATCTTCATGGCATTCTCATCAAGACAGGATCCTTGCTGCTTAAGAAAGAATCTATTTTTAAATCCACGGACATAGTTCCGTTCCTGGAAGTCTCCAACGGTAACACTGCAGACGGGACAGATGCTGCTTCATGACACCTAACAATGACCAGCTAAAATGCAACAGCACAAATTCACAAGGTGTCTCAAAAAACACCCCCTATCTTTGTGACTTTTAGATCAGTTTTGTTTCTACTGTAAGTAAAGAGGAAATTTTTACAGTGGCCAACTCCAGAGTCTCAAACCGGGATATGGCAGCCAAGGTGGATTATTTTAATGCGCATATTGTCTTGAATGGGAACAAACAGCAAAGTCTTCTCTGCTAGCTCCCTAACTTGTGTCTGCCATGAACATAAAAATGCATCAGCAGGAGCAAACTCTGGTTCTAAATCCTATTTAAAACTTAGTCAGTCATGCTCTACCCAGGATTTAATCTTGGTCAGGCCATGATACTTGCATCAGTCTACAAGCAAACATGTTAAGACAGTCTTGCAGCCACTAAAGCTGAAACAGTGGGACTCAAATCCACAAAGGAGCAGCTATGTTGTGAAAGAGGAAGAGAATTTCATATTCTCTTTTCAGAGCATTTAAGACCTGCTGGAGAAACAAGATCCTGTGTCTATGCAAATATTCATAGCAGTAAATTGTGAGAGAATAGAAAACATGATGCACGAATAATAACAAAGAGGTTAAACTTGAATATTTTTCAAAGTTTAGCACTTCCAAAGGCATTAGCAAGTTTTTATATTTGACAGATTCACACAGAACACAAAGAGTATAAAAGGCTTTGTGGGAAGTTTTGAAGAATACAGTTGGTTTTTCCACTCTGTAGCCAGCATTCCCAGGAGAGAAAAAACTCCTGACAGTTTAGCTAACAACAGTGTAGAAGACCTAGGTCTAAATAACAGAAATTTATAAAAATAAATAAGATTCACAAAAGTAAAAAAAAAATAAAAATCTCGAGTTCAAATTTCAGATCTTGCCTATCTGTGGCATCACAATAAAATGTAAAGCCACTTCTAGACTAGTTGCCAATAACCTGGCCTGGCTTGGGCCACAGATTTGGCTTGCATGTTAAAAAGTCTGAACATTTTATTAGTAGGAAGATGTTAGCTGTTTTCTGCTTCCTTGGTTTTCACTTGATATGGAAGCTATTAAAGTTTGAAAGTTTCAGTATAAAAAATTCTCATTATCCCTTGGATTTTCTGCAATACTGCTCTAGATTTTTATGAGTAGGAACTTCGATTAATTTTTTTTCTTCTACTAAGTATTCAAAAATACCAACAGTATACTTTAGTATCTTGTGTGCTAAATAAGCTTAGTAATTACGAAGAGTAAAACCTTGGTCTTACTGAAATAAAAGGATCCAAGACTTTCACATGTATTTTAACTGGTAGTGTATAAAGAGGGGATTACATGTCCCCAGTCCTGATGATGAAATCTGGGGGCACTCACAACACAAGGTTGTACAAGTCCACACATATGTTAGATAGTATTACGAAACAGCCTGAACTTCAGTGTTCAATTCTGCAAGAGGAAATTTATTATGCAGTTCATAAAAATGATTCGGAGTAGCTCAGAATTAAAAAATAGAGGACGATTGATTTTGGTAATAATCACTGGACAATTTTTCTTTGATTTTTCTCTAAAATTTCCAAATATACAAATACAATTTTCCAATTATCCTGACAGAAAGTACAAAAGGTCAATCTGACCTTTGGCCAATGACTCAGTTGTTCTCTCTGGGCATTGAAGTACTAATTGTCTAATAATGTGCTACATGCTGGATCTGTTGTGGGGGTTTTTTTGGTGTTCTTTTGGAAAGCATACCTTAATCCCAACATATTTGGATGGAATAATAGGATGTTCCAACGTGGGGAGGGATGACTCATTAACCTCTTTTCCTATCATCACTTTAGTGGCCACATCAATGAAGTCCACGCCCAGAGTCTTCGATACAAAGGGGAAGGAACGTGAAGCCCGCAAGTTGCACTCTATCACCTGATGGGATTGAAAAAGAGAAATAGCAGGGTCATGCACAGACTGCAGTGAAGAAACAGAGTGATTCATATTTCTGGAAATCAGTCCTTAGTCCTCTTGGCAGAGATGATCTTCAGATCGTCAAATAAGAGACACAGAAATTGTGTTCAATATTAAAACAGCGATGAGGGAAGGGGAGTGGCCAGCCTGAGGTACAAGTAGCCTGATGTTCTTCAACTGAGGATCCTCTCTACTGTCTGAATATTAGAACTGAGGGCGAGCTAGAGTTCACTCAGAAAATGTGCTGTTAATGTGCAAAGAGGCATGGAAACTTATGCACAGGCATGAGGTACAACCTCTAGAAGCCCAACCTGTTCTTTTTTCATGGTAGTGAAAAAATCTGAAAGGCTGGACTATCCTTACTGACTTCCCTCATCCACATGTGGAAGTCACTTAGTGACCCAAGAAAGCAACAAAGAAGTTCTGCATCCTGCTGAGAAGCCACCTTGGAGTTCATCAGCAGAAGAGTCGTTGATGTAAGTGAGGATGAGGAGGAGTGAAGGGGGGCAGGAATAGGTAAGTTAAGGTAGCTTGGAAAAGGGGGGGCTATGAAGAGAAAAGACAAGCACAACTGAGGGAAAGCAAGGAACGGAAAACTCCAGTCTGTCCCTCTCTGGAGTTTCTGAATAACCATGTGTGAAACACAAAAAAGGTGAACAACAGTAAGTACTTTTCACTCAACTAACAGCCCAAAACAGATCTTTTACCAATAATGCATCTCTTCTGGTCTACATCAGGTTTCCTCCTCAGTCACTATTTCCTCAGTCATACTCTGCTCTCATTCCTCTGACCTCCTTTCATTAGCAACAGAAAGCCATCTGTTACCCAAAAAGAGTGAAACATCCACTGTACTTCTGTTACTAATAGCTACTAGGACTATTCAGATAACCATCTTAATAGCTTATATTAAAGGTTTAAACACTTACATTGTCTTGCTTTCTTTCCAATCCCTTTGGAAGGCTTAATTTAACACCCAAATAGCTAAAGATGAGAGCGGATATCAGAGATCTAAAAGCCATGATATTCAGTTTATAGGATGAGGCACAGGTTTCAGTGCTGTCCATCCTATTCCAAACTGATAATTTTGGGAAGGACCACAGCCCACAGTAAAACAAAGCTAGTGCTGACAGACAGGCAACAAGACTCAGTTAACCCTGAATGAAAAGGCAGAGGAGGATTCTCTCTCCCACAGAGACAGGGAGAGCTGCGAGATCAGGGGTGGCACAGGTGAGCCCACATGATCAGACAAGGCAGGTTAGTTGTCACAGCTACTACTGTTATAGAGTTTCCACAGCAGGGATGCAGGAACCATACACCTTAGGGGAGCCTGAATTCCTGCCACTAGAGTCACAAGAGCTCTTACCAGCACATCGTTACCTCGCACCAAGAACTGGATGTTGAACGGACCAGAGATGGCAAAGGCATTTGCAATTTTTTTTGTAGCAGATTTTACCTATAAAACACGAATAAATAAAGTGTAAGTGTGTGTATATAAAATAAATAATTAAGTCCCACAAAATAGATGGCATCATGGCAACAAATCACCTCACATATGGATTCCTTTAAATGTCATTGCTCTCTGCCCTATTTTTTTTCTCTAAACACTCATTTTGCCAACAGCATTATCTTTCAGAAGCAAACGTTTAATGTTCCCAGTAACCTAGAGCCTGAAGTGCCTTTTGAGGGCAGAGGTAAAAATCAGCTGTGTGTGTGTGTGTGTGTGTGTGTGAAAAAGCAGCGGGGAGAAGGAGAGAGAATCAAAGCTTTGCACTGTAGCAATTCCTACACTGCATACTGGAGCCTTTATACCTTTCTTGGTGAAACAATTAATAATGTTTTGGCATTTGAGAATAACTACTCAAATTTGTAAGTGTCCTAAAAGTCTTTCACCAACATGCCTGTCCCATCATAGATCAGTGGGAGGTGTCTGAGAAGATACACTCTGGAACACACTGGGAGGAAAGTCTTATTTACTAGGTTTTTCAGTACAAGTGTTGAATAACTGCTTCAGGAGACAACTATTTTCAGAAGCAAGGCCTTGGACATTCTTGGAAACAGAGTTGGAGCACAGATCAGTGCATGACAGACTTTGTTGGCTTCCAAGCAAACCCTTAGCAGGATGACATCACAAGCAATAGCATATTTTATTTTAAAATTGCATTTTGACAACTAACTTTGTATTACCAGGTTTATTCTTGAAAGAGAAAAAAGTCAAGATTAGGTGAGCTTCATTCATCCTGATATTATGTTTGGAAAAGCAGGTAGTTATAAATTCTTGTGGGAGAAAAGGAAGTGGAAAGTGAGCCATAGCATATTTATGAATTAGACAATACTCTACTGCTATGGAAACCAGTTCTAAACCAAGGAAACAAAACAATCCAATGGGTCTAAGAGCATGCTTAAATCAATGAGATACAGTTCAAAAGATGCTATGCACACAGCCAGTCACAGGGGCACCGTGACATCCTCCACTTGCATATATCACACTGGCCTTCAAAAAAAAATGGATGATTTGATTTCTCCATTGTTGATGGAAGGAAAGCAGATTCAAACTCTCATTTCTTTTTCTCTTTTCAGTGCTAGTGCAACACCTACCTTTTCCAAGGCTCCCTGGCTAATGGTCTGTGTGGGTAACATGAGGGTGGCATCTCCAGAGTGAACACCTGCATCCTCCACATGCTCCGAAATAGCATGGGAAATAACCTGCATACAGCAACAAGAGAGCAGTTGGTCATCTCCTCCTCTCTCATGAACTGTTCCTTCATCCTCAGTATAGCCTCCTGAACAGTTGTATCCAAAAGAGGATACAGATGGGTGAGAAAGTGAATTTTCCAAGATTTTGAGGAGAATATGCCTGAAGCCAGACACAAGGCATATGAACAAGGAGATTGTGTCAGTGTCTTTCATACCATGGTTAAACAAACCATGAACATGATAAAACCCACCATAGCCTGGAGATACTAAGGCTTCCTCTCTCTAACACACGTGGACTCAGAAGGTAAAAGCTAATTAAGCTTTAAACCAGCTCTCTAAGTTCTGCTGGCCAGAGCACCAAACAGCTGTCATTCCCCACCAGAAGCAAGAATGGACTAACATCATTGATACATTATTTTTTGCCCACTCTGATGGTGTTTTTATCACAGAGAAAAGCAAGTGGAAGAAATTCAGGCCTAAGGACTTAAATTGAATGAACTCCATCAAGGCACACTACCTCGATATCAAAAAAGTGCCTGTGTCTGCTGGTTAGAAATTAGGATTGAAAACAGAATATTTCTGTTAATTGATAAGTTTCTGGTTTTTTTGTGAGAACTGTCTTTGCTGAATAATTAAATGCAAGGGGACGTTGTAATAATAAAATAACTGTGGCAATTGCATAACACATGCTGATACAGGTCAGATGAAAGTAATTCCTGAAGTCAGTGATTTGCAAATGCAGTAAAAATTGTATTCTAAAGGATTCATTTACATGGATAAGCAATGCTTAAAAAAATAACTGTTCAAACGTAATGGTTTTGAACCTAAAATGAATTCTTCTTGTTTCTCTACCCTTCTCAGTACAAATCCATGGCTGCATAGTAAATCATTCAAACCACACATTTTTGCAAATATCCAATCCAGAAAAACAAGTTTACTATTAAAGAAAAGCAAAGTACTTACTCTTCCTGCCTTAGCTACAGCATCCATTTCCACCTCACGGGCATTTTCAATAAATTTAGTGAGCACCACAGGGTGATCCTGTCATCAAGACAAGAAAAAATAAGAAACTTTTAATTTGAGACTATCTGGAGACCATCCAGGCTACTTTTGAAGAAGAATCCCAAAAGACCAATCTATCAATATCCTTATTTCCACAGATAAGGTAATTTTGAAAGAACATAATGGGCAAAAACGTGGCATGATTTCCCCAAAACCACTGATGCAAAAGTTTGAGTTCTCCATAATGACACCATGAAATCTGGGGCAAAACCACAATGGGCTTTTATGTGAGATCATGGCAAAAATAACATAGTGAGATGTGCATGGATCCAGTGACCTCTGATCCTGTCTCTCAAGGATGATCCTTACCTCCAAGATCTTCAATTCTTCCTCCCTTTAAGCCTCCCAGACACCTCACTGAACATACTGCTTCAAGTAACTAATCCTTGGCATATTTAATGACTTTGTAGAGTGGCTGTTTGCTACTTTAGTCATGTATTTTAGACAACTGATCCATTCCTTTCTAATTTCCCTGCCTGGTTTCCTAAGTCTCCCAGGGAGAGGTTGCCACTAATTATAGTTGGCCAGGAACAACCTGTCCTTGTCCCTCAATACCTGGTACAGATTTTTTTTTCCTTCTTCTTACTCCTACCTGGGTCTGGGATGCTACCACACACTTCCCATTCCCGTTTAATACTTTCTCCTCCCAGACACTTGCTTCAAAAAAAATCTAATCTTCATTCTTCTTGGCCAGCATTGTGTCTCAGCATTTTACCTGTCCCATCCACTATTAACTACCTGTTATTTATTAGAGAATAAAATGAAGTTTATGACAGTCTGTGCATGCTCAAAAGGCTCCTCTTGAAAAAATGTCAAGCAACTCCAAAAGTTACAAGACACAAGCAACTCCAAAAGTTGCAAGACACAATTCCTTCCATTTATCAGTGCAAGGGTAAATTCACAGGCAAGGACACTGTTTCATAAATTTAGTGGCTTGTGTCCTGTAACTTTCTGTCTTGCTGCAGTTTTTCACCACAAGATTTTATATGTGCACACAACCTTGTTTGCTTCAATCTCTCTCAACTCACACAAGAAGTTTGGTACATTATTGACAACATAAATGCCATAAGGGCACAACACCAGAACAGCAAAGTGGTTAAAACAACAGAACAACACCAGTCAGGGCCTTTACCCGGAGATGCTCTGCTGGATGGAGCAGAATTAGCTAAGGCTTTGTAAACAGAAAAATGAAGCCTGTGTCCCACAAACATGATCACAACTAATACTGGTAGCTTCTGTGGGACCATTCACTGACCACAAAGCCTCAACAAGGATGAAAAACTACGATGGATTAGTGGGAGGGGGAGACCTTCAGGCCCTGGGATCCAGCCCATCACCTGGAGGTGAATGCTCTTCCCCCCTGCCCCCCGCCACGTGGCCGGCGACCCCGTAAGGAGATCACACAGACCACTAGGGAGGGATGGACGAAAGAGGAAGTTTATTATGGGGTAGGGGTTTATAAGGCTTTTAGGAGGGTCAAAGGGGAGCAGGGTACAGAAAAAAACAATCAGGTAAAAAGTTAACAACCAATAGGAAGGGGTTAACAAAGACCAATGAGAAACACCTGAGGACATCTTCCTAGGACACTCCTGTATGGGAGACAAGTCCCTCACAGGGGGTGTTGGGAACACGGAGCAATGACTTTGCAAAAAAGCAAAAGCCATTTTAAAACCTGTTTAAACCACATTGAAAACTTCTGTTTCTATAACATTTGAGCAGTTTTCTTCTTTTTCTTCACTAGTCCATCTCTGACAGGACTTCTTCCATCCTACATATGGCAAATCCATTGCCACAAAAAACCCTTCCTAATTTAGAAGCAGAACACATTATTTTTATTCTGGTTTGCTTTTTGCTACCTTAACTTCAGCTATACCATAACTTCTGTTAATATACAATACTGGATGAAGGAAGAAGTCTTTCTTTGGCAGTCTGACTACACTAGCAAAAAATAAGCATGTAAATCTAGTTTTACAGATCAGAACCGGACGAAAATCAGAATCAGAGCACCCAAAAATTCATGTTGTGCAACTGGTCATGTTTGCAGCATGTGGCAGTGCCCTATTTGTGAAGCAGAACTGGACATCCTAAGGATTCCATGAGAACACCCTCTCTTTCCCCTAAGAATATGTCACATATTGCCAAGTCTGCAAGTGCAACTCCCACCAAAGCCTCCTGCACCAGGGATGAGACCTCTCAGCAATGAAGGACAGCATTACCCAATTCAAGTCATTCAAGCTGTGACAACTTAAGGTGACCAGGGGGCACTTTCCTGGGCTTCAGGCTCCTATAGGGCATCCACTGTCATCATAAAGCCACCCAGCAGCATGACAAAGTGATCTGTCCCACTGAATGGGGCTTAAGGCCATTGTCTGGGCTGTTTCTGTGAGTGTAAACACAGAGTAGTTCAGATAAAGTACAGAGAGAAGTTAGTCATTTTGGGAGGCTGAGCACTGCTAAGAACCTGACACACTAGCACAGGCTGACCATGTAGTCTTCTGAGAATTAGTTAAATAATTCTTTCTTATGAAAGTAACAGTGGTACTTTCCCTCTAAAACTTGTTCAAAGACTATAGTAAGTGGTCTCCTTGCCTCCACACTAATCTACCCTTCAGGATATTATTATTTTGCAAGGCATCTCCCTTTCATTCCACCATTTCTTGCTGAAAAGCTAAACTTCCATCATGTGCCTCATATACTTATAAAGTGCATGGTTTTGTTCCTGTTCAAGCTTTAATCACCTGATTAATAAGCAGTAATATATCTGGCTTCCATAGCCATTGTGTTTTCAGAGTTCCTCTCTGACTTATTTTTAACTCCAAGATTCCTGTGACAGCAGTGTTTATGATACCATAGGACTGTTCTGAAAAGTGACCATTCAAAACAAGAAAGAAAAAAAAAGAAGAAGAAAAAAACCTCAGAAGAGATGCCACGATGAAATTTTAAGTTGTTCAAAAAAGACAGACAAAACAACTCAGAAAAATGCTACCAGTTCTATGCTAGTTGGCAAAACTCACCACTATCAAGCTTGGCTGGGGCAGGAAGGTCCCAGCCTATACCTGTTTACATAATTAACTTGTCAGAAATGGATGCCTGGGTACAACAGCCAAGTGCCATCCTAGATCCATGCAGGCATCCCAGCAGTGTCAGTAAGGATGCTTGCCCAGGATCCCATGCATGTTAGGGAACAAACTGAGGAGTCAAACTGCAATTTCAGTGACTCCTCCCCAAACAAAGAAGGGAAAGAGTGAGGAAGACGCTATAAAGAAACAAAAAGAGATGGAAAACACAGTAGAGAAGAAACAAATAGAGCAAACACAAAAAGAAAAAGCAGTGGCAGCATGAAGACTGGTACCTGAGAGACTCTGGTGGCTTCTGCTAACAAATTCTTCATTTCCTCTTCAGTGAATACCACATTCATTGAGGACCCACTGTGAGACAGGAAAGAAAAGAAATCAGGTCAGCTTCCATTGTGATCAGCGTTAGGTGCCACAGCACAGGACTGCCAATCAGAGACTAGCCAAGGAAGCTCCTGACTCAAGCCACTTACCCCATCTTGATTGAAAGAGAGGCAGAGATGGTACCTAATCACCCTTCATTATTCTTCCCAGAGAAGACAGGAGACCTCCAGAACCATAACAGAGAATCAAGTGAAGAACTATGGTTGTGTAGCCTTAGCACTGCTGACAAATCCCCTTCCTGAGTCAAGCCTTTGAACCTTCCCCTGAGCTGAGGGAGGTGACTCATCAGCCAGACAGCTCCATTAAGGCCCAGACTTTCCCCATGGGGCAGCTTAGCTGTGACCTCAGCTAAAAAAGAAACTTTTCTCACTTTAGCCCAGTTTCTCCCCAGTGACAGATGAAGTGAGGAATGCACAGGTCACTGGTGATGGTTGTGACAATGTGAATCCAGATGAAAACAGGCTGTTCTTTTCTGGCCATTTCACTCTGTTCTTTCCCAAAGGTCTTATTCCTTAAGGGAGAGGCACAGTAGATGCAGACACTGTAAACTGGAAGCTACATTTGAGATGTAGCTGTCAGTAGTATCTGAGAGGGGGATCTGGGAGAACATGGGTCCAGAGATAGTGATTCAGGTGCCTTCTAAGGACAACAATCTTACAAAAAAGATGTTACATTGGCCATTTCTATCACTGGTGCACAGCTTCCCCTCTGCTTTGATGGGCACCACACAAAGGCTGTGGGGAAAAGTGGAAGACTGATCTATCCCACAAAATCAGTTACTTTAGCCTAAGATAAATAGAAACAAGTACCTTGGTGATTATATTACTGGACTACCTCTTCAGTTGATGTAAATCAACAGAGTTCAATTAAGTCTATGACCTGTGTCAGTAGCACCACTGAGGATGTGAGCTAGTGCACACAGTACATAACTGGTGGGGAAATGCATTTAGTTTTCCAAGGAAACTGGCAAATATTAAAGGTCATAGCTGCTCAAAGGATGAAGAAGTTTAGCTGTGGTCCTGTTGCTGCTCTGCAAATAGAGGACAGACAGAGTGCTGTGTGAGGGCTTTTCACTCGCCGGTTCCTCAAGTTTTACATCCACTAGTTTTACCTTTCTCCCTGAAGTCCCCCTAACCTGCACAAACACCCTTTAGCAAATATTTAACATGGAAAGGGTCTATAATGGATTTAATACAAATGGAAACAATAGCTAAAATAAGTGTTCCCTAAAAATCTGGAGAATTACATCAGGAGCAGATTTTAACTTATACTCCTGACCTGTCTGTTTTCTAACTTTGCTTGCAACCCCACTGCAAGCTTTAGAAACCAGATAGAAAAGTCACATTCAGGAGTCTCTTCTGAAGGATATTTCCTTGACGTTTGAAGATATAAGAAATCCTTCTCCTTTCCTTCTTTTTGAAGTGTGTTAGCCCCTCCTCCCCCCAAAAATTGATATTGTGCCTCTTCATTTTGATATGTATGTGTCTTCTTCATATGGAAAAGGACCCAGTGAGTTTGCTGTGTGTGCACACTGGTGAAACTCCCTCAGAAAGTCTAACTGTTGGAAATGTGGGGTTCCACACAATGTCTATTTAATGATGGAGGAACAGATACATTTCCAGAAGAATTTGTAACAGAGTGTTAGAACTGGGTTTCTGCTCGGAAGGCTTTCTGCCTAAATGGTAACTCCCAAAGGCAGTTTCAATGCTTTCCTCCCCCCCTGCATAGCAAGAGTTCTCAGCCTTGCTCTCTGGAACATGAGAAGAGAGAGAGAGAGAGTTCTAACAAACATACACCAAGGCCTTGGGAAGGCGGTGGAGAAACAGAGAGGACAAAAAGGGCCCCGAGGGGGCAGGAGCTGGCCTTTTGCCACAAAAAAAGTGGTCCTTGCATCTCAAATGAACCTTTTTTTAAATCTTTCCACTGCCTTGGTATTCTTGGGAAGAATACCCGTGTATGTTTACCTTACAGTGAGAAGCAGCTGCCACCGTGTAGGGACATAAAACATGCCTGTAAGCGGAGAAGCTTGGCAAATAAGAAGCTGAATTCAAAAGATGCACTGCCATTTTCTGAAAACAGATGCCAACCCCAATAAATGGCCTCAGTATACTCCCTTCTGGTTTTCCTGGTGGCAAACAATCTTCTGATTTAATTGTACAGGTAACAGTCTCAGGAACCTTAAAGATTATGCCAGATAGTTTGTGGGTTTGGCCTTAAGATATGAAAAAGGTAATGCAGCTAAACAGACATTCTTATGAATATGTTCTACTTTTGATCAATGCCTGATGGACTTAAGGGATCCATTGGCTTCCCTTATTGATTTGATCAGTTGTCCCATGGGCAGCTTTATGCCACGTACACCTAGCACAGAGCTTTCCACACATCCCTGAAATTACTCTCCCTTGTCTCAAAGAGGCCTTTGGAGTTCATGCCCTCCCTTGCTGAGCTCTGATGGCTGAGCCTTACCTCAGAACATAGGAGGGCCTCAGTAAACATGGGTAACTCACTGAGCTTGCAAATTCAACTGCGTCTCTCTAAAGAAAGGGAGGAAAAACACGCTATGAACAAGAAAATATTTTAAAGTCATACCAAAATTTCAACACTGCCTGCATTTGCACTTTACTAGCCAGTAAGATGGTAGGGGAAGAAGTCAGAGACTGCAGCCTGGTTCCCAAACTGGCACCTTCAGACCTTCCCTGTCCATAGAGCTTCACCAGGAAAAAAAAGCAGTGCCAAGACACCTCTATTCCTTTGCAAATTCCACCTGCTAGAGCAGTTCTCAAAGCCAGCAGGCCAGATTAGACTAGCCTGACGGCGGTGCTAACTTCTGCTGGGTATATACCCCAGGTTGTGTAAAGGTGATTTAAAGACACTTCCTCTCCAGTATTTGCCCACTCCCAGCACTGCTACAGCATCACTTCACAGAGACCAAAAAGTTCTTCAACACTGGCAGTAAAAAACTGTTAAATATCTTCAGAATCTTGAAATGTATCAGTGAGTCAGTCCCAGTGAGCAGATGCACCACCCCCAGCTCCTTCATAATTTCCCAGAGGAACATACCAACTTACCAGTGTGTTCACAGCCTTCCAGGGAGCCTGGGCCACATGCAGCTCATCCAGAACAGCTGAGAATATGGAGCGATCTTCTGCCTGGTCAATCTGCAGAGCATTTGTGCCAAGGATCTTCACTCCACTCTGGTGAAGTGGCACTGCCAAGTTATTGGGAATCTGCCCTCCTACTGAAATAATGCAGCCACTGCACCCCTGTCGGCAGACAGAAAGGAGCACGGTCATGTCCAGGTTAACTCAGTAGTAAGAGCTGTTACAGACAGGAATTCAGTATTCAGATTATGTTTGTTTTCAGGTTGCTGTGAACAAAGACAGAGCATAGGACCAACAGGGATGACTAGAGGGCTGGAGCACCTCTCCTGCAAAGGCAGGCTGGGAGAGCTGAGGTTGTTCAGTCTGGAGAAGATCCAGGGAGACCTTATTGCGACCACCAGTACTTAAAGGGAGCTTATAAGAAAAAGGGAGAATGACTTTTTACACAGGCAGACAGTGATAGGACAAGGGGGAATGGCTTTAAACTATAAGGAGAGATTTACAGTTGCAAGACAGTAACCTCCAGAACAGAGGCAATGGCACACAAGTGGAATTTATGGGTTTTTTTTCTGCCAGCACTGCTGTTTACTAAGCAAACCACCTTTCCTAGCCCCAGAAGCCAGTCTTTGAGGAGTGTAATAAAGCTAAGCAGAGTCTAGTTCAACAGAGCCCAACACATCAGACAGCACGTGATGGTGGATTACTCTGGACACACGTAGCCCTTTATTTTAATCCATGCTCCTTATTCCCAACTAGCTCCTCATTTCTTGTAGTGCCCTTGACAGTAACAAGTATTTCAGCAAACTGTCATATGTGCTCATTTCCACACAGATTATTTGTAAGCACTTTAATTCCAGAGGCAGCTGAGGCAGGGCAAGTGGTACAGCATCCTCCAGACACATTGGAGCATTTCATGTCTGTCACTGGGCAGTCATCACATTTTAATTGGGGAAATAATAAAGAGTAAATAATGACACAAGTGAGCTTGCTTGCAAACACATATCCTTCTTCAGATGCAAACACAGACTTCTTTTTTTACATAGAACTCCTAATGCTTTCAAGTACAGTCTAGTCAGATGTGAAAATTTTCAACAGCAAAAAAAGGCCTTAGAGTACCTGCAACAACTATGAGGACATGAATCGTCTTTAGACTGTGTAATAATTGAGGGTAATTAAATAATGGGCACTCTACTTCCAAATTAAAGCTGGTGAAAATTTGCTCAAAGGAGGATCTTGCCCACAGTACAGCTGCAGTGAAGGCTCTTTTGAACTAAATGTGTTTTACAGTTTTACCCATTTCTAACAAATGGAAAACATAAATTAAGTGATCCACAGTTTGGATCTCAAAGATAGAGGAACAATGTTCTTTTACTTAATAAGTGTGTTTTTCCTGAAGGAGGTCAGCCCCACTGGCCTTCCTGCAAGAGGAACTCCTTCATCAGGGATTTAAAGGGATTTGGAGTGGCAAATCTATAAGCTGAGAGCAGGATGGACTACAAGTGACTGCGAAAAAAATAGATGATAAATGCTAGTACAACCTCCACTCAACTTTGATGTGGTTAATTTCCTACCATAATAAAAATCCGCTAAAAAAAGTCTGGCATTTAAACAGCACTTATTATCACAAAGTCTACAAGAGTATTATTTGCTTAGCAGGCTAATACACAGTGCTGGAGGTGATTTTTTTTTTCCTTTTCCCCAGGCAGTCACTACTGGGATGATATGCTGCTGCTGGCCAATAGCAACCACCTGAGAGAGCTCAAGACAGGCAGTGAAAAATGCCTCATTAGCAGAGGGTGGAGCAAGGACAGAGGCTGTTTTGTGCCCACACAGGGTTGTCTCACGACACTGGAGATCACCATCTCCAACTTGTAAGAGAAATCTGTTCCTTAATGCTTCCAGACCCATCCAAATCAGACTAATTCTCTCTAGTCCCTGGGCCCCTTACCATCCCACATGGATGAGAACCAGATAGTGAGTAAGCAAACTCCTTCTTGCAGCTTGGAAGGGTTCCTGTTGGATAACAAGTTGGCCTACCTTTGCTGCCAAGGTAACCAACATCTTAACCTATCCTCAACATGTCTGAAATGTAAATGTCCCAGCTAACAGCTTCTCCTCAGCTGCTGCTTATTTCTTCCTTTAAAACAATTCTAGTTACTGAGCCTCTAAAGTTCAAAGACTGCCCACATCAAAGTTAGGATGGCACTAGGGTCTCAAGCCCTAAGGAGACAGAGGAGATGGCTTATGCAAGTAGATACCAAAGAATCATATACTCATTTTTACTCAAAAAGAAACATAAATTGAACCTAGCTGCTGCTCACTTCTTCCTTTAAAATTCTGCTGCTGTTTCCCAAAGGATGTTCCTGCCCAAAGAGCAGTCACTGTCCTGCCAGGGAACAGGACTGCTCCACTGAGAATGTGGGCAGACAGAAGGAGATGCCACCGCATATCACTCTATCATCAGCCATATTTTAATTATAAAGAAATTGAATAACATCCTTGCCATTAGATATCTTTAAAATATATGCAATACATAATCTAGTGAAAGAAGCCTAGAGGGAATTATTCTTCCCTTTATAACAAAAATCACTCTTTTTATTACTACGTTGGTTTTATGCCATTAGTAATAGAGTTGGGTTTTCTTTTTCCCTGAGTTTGAAAACAAATTAGACCATTAAAATAGTACCTAAGAGCCTCCTTTAGTTTTATTAATTGTTTCAGGATTATTTTAGAAACTGAAAAAGAATCAGTAGAGGCCCTCAAGCAGATAGATATTAAAACAAAAAGGGAACATCTTCAGAAACAAAAAGCCAATAAATCTGAAGGAAGGGATTTTATTTTTTTTTTTAAATTATTGTCCTCACAGACTACCACCTAACTTTGCACATTCAGAGTAAATTAAACTCTGCTCCAATACACAGCTCAGTCTCTGGTGAGTCAGAGCAGCTGTGAATGTCAACTGGAGGTAAAAGACACAAAAGAGAGAAAGGAGGGACAGCTGAGTACATCCCTGGGATAAGGCTGTGTGAAGCTGTGAGCATCTCTTGGTAGGCAGGTTCCAGCTGCCTCATTCTTGCTGGTAACCTTGCTTCTCAATGCAGCCTCATTTGTCTCATCACTAAAACTGGGACATGTCAGTGCACCTATTTATTTGAGCTTAACAGTTGCCCAAACTTTGCTGCTAATCCTAACTACACTTAGGGAGCTGATGAATCATCTCTACTAAGGGCACAGGGGTGTGTCCATTGTTTGCTGATGGTTTTACCTACAGTTTGCCAACAATCCAGGACTTTTCAAAGTATTTGCCACAGTTCATTGCCTATTGGAACATCATAGGAGGCCAATGAGAGATTAAAAGAACAGCCTGACATCACAGCACTATTCATGCTTTGTATATGAAGTGGGGAGAGATGGCTGTCTTGCAGGATTGGTGAAGGATCTCAGAATCAGATTAATTTTAACTTGATCATTTCCTTAGAGACTGACTTCCAACTGCATTTGCCTGAGGAAGCATTTTGTTAACAGGATATTAGCATTGGGCTCACTCACTTTTTTAAGAAGAAATAATACATCTTACACTACATTGTGATGGAGGTCTGGGCTCTGTCCCCAGGTCTACCTGTATCCTTTTGCATGACTCTGTGCAGGCTACTCTGTTCCTCAGATACTCAGTTTCCCTACTTGTAAATTAGGCATAATGACAGCATTTCTTTTTGTTGCTACTGAAGAAAAGTGTTCTAAACAGCTGAGTATTTACTATTCATCCTGGGAATTTTTAAACAGCACAACCTGATTTTGGATGTTTAGGTTCAGATCTGATGACTTTAACACCCTCAGAGCAAACATCAAATAGGTTGTTTTCATACCCAAGCAGTAGCAGTAACAGAAACCTCTGCAAACTCTTACCATCTCTCTTATCCCCCTTTTTATTCCTACCACCTCAGTTCCTGCTGCCTCCTCCCTACCCTCTCTCCTCTCACAATCATTTTTTGGTTTTCACAAGCAGGACAGGCTAAAAACATACCCAGAAGCAGAGTCCAGTTTATGAGCATGGCTTGCTGAGCTGGGGAAACTGCCAACAGTGTCCTACCCCTTCAGGTCTGGGTACCACAGAACGTTGCTATTAGACTTTGAGATCTGCATCACCTCCCATCAAACTTGCCAAGCCTTGCCATGACAAGCAGGATAATGCAATTTCAATATATTTGTGTTATTCTTTCCACACATTTTTCTCACCCAACCTGCTAATTACTAGCACTCTGTGTAGAAATGAGCAGTTGCTGCCTCATCACCTGTATCTACCTCCTCTTTGATCCTGCAGTAATTAGATGCTGTGTTTCATCAGTGTAACTTGTCTGACAAACTGTCACACCAGTTTGCTCCACGCCCCAAGCTCAGAAGTTCAGTTCTGTTAAGTAAATAAGAGTTCAATGCTTTTAGAGCTGAGCCTCATGCATAATCCTAAAGCATTCAAAAATCAGGCTCTGAGTCCAGAGAGTCTGTCCTAAATCTATGTTTTCCAGTAGTAATCTGCTTTTACAAAAATTTAAAGAAGAAGTAAAACAACATGTACAAATAGGAAAGTATGAACATGCAATCTAAAAATGGTCCTAGTCAGTATTTTGCAAATGGCTGAAGAACAGAGCCTCGAGACTGAGACTTGAGTTCTGATTAGAAACCAACATTTTACATATCAGGGCCAACTGTTCATATTATATATACTCTCATTACAAAATTTGTCTGGAACTCTTCTCCATCTCTTAGATTAGCACTTCTGAACACTTGAAAACTCCTAAGAGAGTAGTGCAATATTTGGATCAGCTGCAACATGTTTTGGCTTGATGGCAATTCCAATGGCCCTTCCTGATCTGCCTGCCTGTATGCTGGACCACATCCACAACATTGCCACTGTACTGCAAGGCCAAGAGTACGAGTTCCTGAGCACACATTAGCATGATGTTCTATCACTTCAGGTGGAGGACTTGTGCTTCAAGGGTATGCTTAACTACTAAAGCCCAGTACCACAAGGACAGAACAATTTGTGCAATGAATGACTGCAGCAAATTAAATCTGCTTGCAAATACTGCACAATATGGCATCTCATGAAACAATTTATTTGGCATTCATTACTGAGCAGTCTGCTAGGAACATTAACGATGTGTAAAATGCAACAATGGGATCCAAACCAAAGAGCTTTTGTGAGCAAGCTCTCTCCCCTTGCCCCTAGCTGCTCTGCCAAAGCAAGCTAGTGACATGAATTTTGAAAAGTTTAGGTTCTTCATGGCTTTTTATAGAGCTTCTGTTTTTTCTTTACCTCATATTGGTAGATGTCCAAGATCCTTTCCAATGACAGCTCCTCAAAGTACAGTCTGTCACACTCATCAAAATCTGTGCTCACTGTCTCCGGGTTGCAATTCACCACGACAGTCCTGTTGCCAAGCTGACGCAGCGTGCGGATACTGGAAACAGCACACCAGTCAAACTCCACGCTACTGCCTGCCAGGAGACAGAAAAGTGGGCAAGGAAAGAAAGGATGTAGAGAAGAAAACATAAAGAGACATTCTCAGCACTCAAGGTGAAAAAGGAACCCCCAAACACAAGAGGTAAGTTGGCTCAGCTGCTCGGGAGTGTCAGACCCCTGCGACACATCTGTCATCCTGCGCTCATAAACACTGATGGCTGCTCTTGCTGCCCATCCAGATACTGCTGCCTCCCAACCAATAATTAAACCAGAATAAATTAAACAGGCAGAAGCTTAGAGCTGACCAAATTGAGTTCCTGTTGTTTTAAGACAGTGCCGCTTACTCCAGGAAACACAAAGCATTTTTACAGATGTAGTGTAAAGAAGAGAAGACTGAAATGGTTTTTACCTTCCAGAAGAGCAGAGTATGGCTAAACCAACAACAGAAAAATTACAGCACAGTAGGTTTGACTTTCCTGTGCACTGACTCTAGGTAAGGCAGGTTGGTAGAACAACATTTCCAGAGTAACTCTGTGATCCTCTTACCTTAGTTTAAAGCCACAATGACTATTGGCAACACTGTGGGGCAAGCATGTCCTACTGTCCTGAGCCCTGAGTAAGCACTGTGGCTACCTCGAAAGGTAAGAGGCTCAGAGGGAATCACCTGGAGCTTGGGCAAGCACCAGGACTTAGTGATTAGTCCTGGGATAGCTGCAGCACTTGTGATTAGGGCAGTGCTGTGGCTTCAGGGAACACTGGAATCAAGACTTGTGTGAACAGCTGTTACTCTATACATTTCTATGCTCAAACATTTAGGAGGGGTAACATAAACAGAAAACAAGGCATATTAAAGAACAGCATTAAATGGTTATGCTTACAGTCTACAAGAAAACCTTGGCCTCATCATGCTGCATTCACAGGCATTACATGATCATTAACCACTGATACTACTTTTACATATAATTGTGTGACAACATACATTGGAAATTCAGGCTGTGTTTAATTGCTGCCTCCACCACCTAGTCACAAATAAATGATTGGCACAGGTCACTCACTGACAGGCACGTAAGTTGTTTCCATACTTCTATCAAACAAGAACCTCAAAACATGTCTAAGCCTCGGCTAAAGCCCCACAGAAAAGAGAGGAAAATAAAACCTGAAACTGAATGTTTCCCAGAAGGGACACCAGGTGCTTGTTCACTTTTTGTATTCCACTTCCATTACTCAGGTACTTTTATATGCATAAGAAACCTCAACCTTGGAACACAATGGTCATCTGTAGCCCCCATCTGACTGCTTCAGATACAACCTGGGAAAACATCTTAACACTTGTAAGTGTATTCCAAGCACATCCAGTAATGGTCATGTCCAAACACGGGAAAAGAGAAGACAGAAAATAAATAGTATTACTAGTAATGACTGTTGTAACATAAGCAGACACTGCTCCTCAGAAGACAATGACTACATCAAAACAGGCATGTTTTGAACTCACTTTCAGGTTTCAATCACATTAAAATCTAAGTGCACACCTTAAAATTTACAGAGCACTCTGCTGACCCACGCAGGTGATGGAATATATTTATACTGCTTTCAGGGCTGACTCACACAAACAAACCCCCTCTCAGGACAGTTGATCCCTTCCTGGCAGCAGGTGAAGAGCAAGGATTGCTCTTTACCTGAGCAACACCTCACGGAGCACAGTTCACTTACTGCAGCTCAGGCTCTCCGGGAGCGAGAGGCTTCACGTGTGCAGGAAAGGTGTGCCAAAGACTGAAGTTCAAGAGTGTGTAATAGCACTGATTCACATCATGTTTTTATTTGGCATATCAGCTAACAAGAAACTTCAAAAGAATCCACTTCAGTTTGTACAGTTTTCTTTTTAAACACAGAATATAGCATGGGTTGAAATGGCCTCACACTTCCCCTAAATATTTTTATTTTGCAGAAGTGTCAACATATTCAAGATTTTCCTGCAATATATTTATGGATAGTTTCAAATAAAACTCATAAGGTTGGGGTTTTTTAAATCTAAAACTCAGTTTTCATAAAGTAAATAAGAAAAATAGTGTCACATGTTTAACTTCCATCCAAATCATTTAGCCCTTTCTGACCTGGCAAGAAACGCTAAGTTGATCCCACTGAATTCTGATTACAATTCTGAGAGCATAGAGGAAGAGCACTCTGCTTACTTGCCTTAAAAGGATAACCAGAGAGGGAAAAAAAAGAAATCAACTTGGCTATTGTACCTAGGAAAAATTCTTTTAGAGGTACAAGTAATGGTTTCCTTTAGTAGCCTCTATTTAATTGCAACTTCTTTCAAAGAGGGTCTTGATCTAATCAAAGCTACAGAGCAGGTGAGACCAAGACTGAATCTGCATGGCTAATCTAAGCAATGAGGAGTTTTAGATGGTCAGTGTAAAATGGATTCACATACATTCAATTAAATTATGAAAGAACACTGACATCTTTTTCATGTCTTTTATAACCATGCCACACAGCACGTTGACTGGAAGAAGCATTCACAAAAAATAAGCATAATCGTGGAGTGTTGCTCCTGATTTCACTCATCTCAACATTCATGCTGGAAACTGAGTTCAAAAAGACACGTCCTACAAACAGCAACAGGAGTGCAGCACATGACCTCTCCATCCAAGCAAAACAAATGGATGCAGTTTTCAATTTCAGCTTTCAAAACTCATCACCACTTCTTGCAAGATGCAGAGCAGAAATATTTCTGAATAACAAGCAATTTTTTTCTTGTCAATAATTGCAAGCTATTTAAAGGGATCCATTAATAGAAAAAGTCAAAGTCATCATATACAGAGTTCAGCAGTCTGTCTACCCAGTACTCACAGCCATGAAGAAACTCTTATGCTGTATAATGATCTGAGTGGGCTGAAAAAACAGCATACAGAGAATTGCTTACACAAAAGCAGCTGAGAAGATCAAAATATTTTCAGAGTCACCTATACTTGCAGCTGTAAAATGCATAGTGTGTAACAACACCGTGGTGAGATGGCAGTAAACATGTAAGACAGGTGCAGGAACAACAAAATCCTCATGATGCAAGTTATCAGGTTCTTAAGACTTTAACATGTGAAAAAAATAAGATTAAAAAATTCCACAAAACTTTGTGGAAATTACAACTAAGTATTAAGTGAAAAGTAATAAAATATTCCTGTTTTTTTCCAGGGTGTGAAATGAAGTCTCCAAGCAAGTATGAAAGGCAAACCTTGTGTTAGGAATTGATGTCCTGTGCACTGTACTCTGGAGGGTTTTGTCACCATATGAGAAGAGAAGCAAATGAACCACAAGAATATCTGAAGGCAGCTTGAGGGTTCAAGGAGAACAGAGGAGTTGTAAGAAAGATTTACCTATGTGATATGGTCCACAGCCCAACACCATCACTCCACAGTCATCAAATTTTACATCATGTTCCTGAGAAGGGAGAGCAAAAAGGCATTAGGATATGTACTCCACAGCACCTTAACTCCGTGCTTTTCAGGATAAACAGTTTCTGATGCTCAGCTCATATCCAACAGTCTGATCCTTCAGGGCTCAAGTCTGATCTCATTTACTGCAGTGTAAATCAAGTGCAACTCTCCTGGAATTAGTGGTGCTGCACCCAAACCAAAGGAAACATAGCACCTCTGATGTGGCTCTTTGAGCAGCCATAAGGAGCTGTGAACATTCACATATAAATGAACGCCAGGATGAGATTAGTGAAACGTGAGTTGTGCATTCCCAGCACCTACCTGTGCACGTACAGGTGATATATTAACACAGGGCCATTAATGCTAAATGCACCGGAACAGGATTTGAGCAAGAGAAAGTTCCAAGCCTTCTGTAAGGAGACTATATGTAACACCATCCAAAATAATTGCTACAGAGACATTTGCAAGATCCCCAGAAATAATGTGGCATAGAGGAAAGAGATCAAACCAGACAGCAATGAGGCTTGTTTCTGAAGGTGCCTACCTGCCCGTTGTACGTGATGTAGAGGTAATTAGTCACTGCTGGGTATTCTGCTGCCAGTGTGTCAATCTGTATGAGGAAGAAGACAAGGGATTGTGACTCGGCCAGTGCAAGATCTTTCCTATGTGCGAGTGTTTCGGGTTTTTTTCTTTTCTCTCTTTCATTTTCTACTGCTATTTCCGTCCTATTGTTTTCCTCTCATAAGAAGGTGATCTGAACTGTTCTGTGCAGCATATTCCTGACCTTGCCCCCAGACCCCACAGTTCAGTCTACACGACACTCTACCATCTCTTTCTAAGCTGTAGTTTTAGCTCTGCACCTCTTTGGTGAAACATCTACACAGCCCAGGAACCTACCCTACTCGCCAAGGCCTTTGTTCTCTGCTTTGTCTGGCAGCATTAGTTACACAGATCTCCATTTCTTCAGGTCTCTTGCCCCCTTTAGTAGGGCCATCTGGAACCTTCACATCCTGCTCTTGATTCCATCTTACTCCCACACTGAACACAAACATGCACACAATATCACTTTGAGATCGTGCTGAGTAGCAGCACAATTACTACATATTTCTGTTACAGTATAACTTCTGCTTTGATAATTAAATGGTACACAAAGCAAGAGTGATTTTCAACCACCCCTTATATGTAATTTTGGGAACCCAGAACAATTTTCCTACTAGGCTGTTCACAAACTATTTGTGTCACCTACTCATCGCATGTTATACATCATGACTAGTCCATCTAGGACACCAGCAACTGCTGATGTTCCCTGAATGAACAACTGAAACATTTCTACACAGAATACTGAACAGGGAACAATATTAAAGCAGTCCTGACATGAATTTTTACACACTATACCATTTAAAAACCTGTCCAGCCTTCAAGTAGTTTCAGGAATCCTCAGTGGCTGTCCAAATTCTTGTGAATAATGGAGAATGTGACCTTATGTCATTAGCACCGTGTTAAGTGTCTGCTGCTCATTACCGTTGCTAATAGTGTGACATACTTCATGGAACAAGAAGAAACATATGCTTTGAAGGTACATATGCAGGCACAAGTGGAATGACCTTATTAAGGGTACCTTGGCACACAAATCAATCCAGCACTGCAGTGCCATATGCAGCTGAAAGAATGCAATGCAAGACCAGGCACTCTTCCGTGGCCAGGTGAGCCATAGAAGAAAAACAGCAGCTGGGGAACAGAAGGAGATTTGGCACCTGGAATTGGGCCTGAGGATACAGACAAGCTCTTTCAGAAACATTCAGTAGTTTGGGTTGGGGTTTTTTTTTTTTCCCTTTAAGGACAGAAAACCAGCTGGTGGCAGTTTAATACCAACATAGCTTAAATGCAGCAGGAGAACACCTAGTGACGCTGCCACAATTACCAGATGAGCTCATTAGGCTCATGCTATCACAATGAATAGCAAATGAACCCATAACAGTAGCAGACTTCAATTACAGCCTATAAAAAGTTACTACCAAAAGAGAAGCCATATTATGCTTTTCATGGTCACACCATGGTGGGCCAACATTCTCAGCCTTTCCCTGAACCCCCATAGCTGTGTTTCCCCCTCAGCCACGCAAAATACAAACAACAATATTCTGAGCATCTCTTTCGGAATGTTCATGGTCTTACATTGATGCAGAAGGAACAGCTACAGGGGTGAAACGTGTTCTCCTCTCATGTCAACATCAAAACTCCTGTGGACGTTAACAGAGCCAGGGGTTTCTAAAGACACGGAGGTCTCCCGCCCCTTGCACTCCTGGAAGCCCCCAGCAGGACCACACACGTACCTGTTTCACCCAGGGCACTATGTTCTTCCTCAGCCTCAGCTGACGGCACTGGGCTTCACTCAACCTCAGGCATTTCCCAATCTGTTTGTCGGAGAACCCCATCTGTTTGGCTCTTCTCAGTGTCTCCTCTGGAACTGTTTCACTGAGATTAAATAAGAAAAACACCTCTGCATGAGGCTTTACTGGCAGACCTATAAGATACATTAGTGCTTGTGTCCTCTATACTCCATGGAGTTGCTATAGGATCATGCACATGAAAGCAAGAAAAGGAAAAAGACTCATACATAAAAGACCTTTTTTGTACTGGGCGCCCACCACAAATATCTATGAGGTAAAGTCTTTCTTTTCCTGCATTTTTGAGGCAGGAATGAGTGATTCACAATGATGTCCATCATCCCCCAGGCAGCACTCTACACGAGGCTAGTACAAGTTCACTGTATGTACAACACTCATATGGTCATTTACCATTTCAGCCTCCACAGAGGACCTGCAGTGATTCCTTTCCTGGATTCAGTATCCCTACAACTCCACACCCAAACTTTAAATTAATATCTTTCTTACATTCTTCCTCCCAGTCTAAATTTTAAAATACAGGTCTCACCAGACTGGTTGGATCAATCATAATGTATGTCCTGCCTCTCATTGCAGCTGCCCATTTATGCCCAAAGGCATAAAAATCCTGAAGCTCTGGGACAAGCCATTCAGAGGCATAACTGTGACCCAATCCTGCTAAGCTGGGAGACAGCTGGTCTCAAAACACTACAATTTGTTCCAAACAAGTCTTTCTTTCTGTTGTTGAGGATGCTCTGCCTTACTTCAGAAATGGCCAGTCTTTAGAAAAAGCCTCTGACTTCAGAGATCCATAGTAGAAATGATCTTCAGAGGCTCACATACAAGGTGAGTTTTTCCTTCTGACAGTCTCGATATATCTTTTTCCCTATCATTTGTACTGCTTCTTGCATTAGGAAAACAGAGGGGGGGGGTAAACTGAGTAAAACAGGGACACCTTTTATGATTTCATATTTGTAACCAGGGGTTCTCAATACTTCCATACCTTGTCCTCCTGGTTTTGCTTTTCAGGAGTCCTACTTTCTGTTGGTAATTTCAAACACATTGCTTTCCCCTGTCATCTCTGTAGATCAACAGCTCCCCATCCATTTTGCTCTTGATTTTTTTCATCTTCTCCATTCCCTCTTTATTCTCTCCACTCTTTTCTCTCCTACTCTTTGTTCCACTATGTTTTGACTCCACCAAAAGCCCTTATAGTTTCTGCCTGCCTCCGTTTCTAAGTTACCTTTTCTAAGCTTAGCTTTTACAAAAACATAAAAAAGCTTATGTATTTTTATCAGCACAGTCTGCTTTTCATCTTCATTGCCAAGAGCATCCTTGCCTGCCCAATAAATCAATATTTTATGAACAAGCAAGCTCTGAATCAGGAAAAAGGAAATGACTAACAAACAAGCAATTTTCCTAAATCAGAGCTTTGAATTATGTCCTTTGCTTGACAGTATTTTTAAATAGTATTATTTTATTTCAGTGGGATAAGAGGGGTAAGACAGCTTTATTGGAATGTGTCAGGAAGCTGAAGCATGAAAGAGAGTCATTGGATTGTATTTTCCACTCTGGCTTAGGCACAGAGAAGCTCTGCTGCCCTGGGTGAAGTCAGGCTAGTGCTAAACAGGTTAGAATCACACAAGTGTCAAAACAGCTTGTTCTGAGAGTAGAACTGGGGACCAGAAACTTTGGGGCTCAAATCCCTGTGTAGGTGGGGTTTTCTCTAGGAATTCCCCAGTGCCACCTCTCCTAGCCCTGTAATATGAGAACAGAGCACTCCACCTGTCAGCAATAGCACAGCAGAAAATAATAGTGAGCATTTGCAGGAAGGAAACAATCACTGTAACTTCTACCCTCCACACTGTCTCCCAAAATGCTTACTGTAACTCCCATCTTCCACACTGTGTCCCAGCCTGGCACCACAACCAGCTTGCTCTGCCCTCAGAGAACTGCAGGCAGGAGTACCACCTACAGCCCGGATCTTCTCCAGAACCCTTCACCATATCACCCTTCTTCTCCAGCAAATCCTCCTCTTTGTTAGAGTCAGAAGGAAAGTTGTAGAGGGGAAGTGTTCAAGGTTGGGTTGGACAGGGCTATGAGCATCCTGGTCTAGTGGAAGGTGTCCCTGCCCACAGCAGGGTGTTGGAACTAGATGATCTTTAAGGTACCTTCCAACCTAAGTCGTTCTACGATTCTATGAAACAGTCCTTCCTAATCCATCAGGTTGAGCTTCCCAGGTTTTGGATATCCCCGAGTAAGACCCACTTTGTGGCACTACAGTACATTAAAGACTGTGGTTCCCATGCACTAACACTACCACCACAAACTCCTCTGCTCCTCCTCAGCCCTTTCTGCTTTCTGATCTCAGCTCAGAGGCAGGACTTTTTACATAAACCATGAGCACCAGAAGTGAAAGCATGGATAGGTGTTTTACAGGAGCAAACAAAGCAGAATCCACCAATTCTCTGGCAAAACTGATGCTAGCCATCACCAGCTATGAAGGACACAGCCACACTAGATTTCTCTCCTAGACTCAGTATTCCTAAAGTATGAGTGAGCAGACCTGATGACCCCAAGAAAATAAGCCTGTTTCAGTGGTGTTTACTCCCTTGCCCTCCCTCCCTTCTGCCTCAGGAACACACATAGCTGGCTGTCATTTGAGTACTGACAGACACAGAAAATTGCCTTCATTTGCAGCTCGTTTCCACTGCATTTTTTCTATCTCATTATAACAATATCATTCAATGTCACCCCCCACCCCAGCAGGGTGGCGAATAAAAGCAGTGATTATTTCACGACATGATTCATTTGCCTTGGGCTAGCATCTTAAATCAGGTTAGGCCACTTACTAATCCATGCAGAACGGTAACTGTTTTTGTACAGGACAACCAGCGTGCAAGAGAAAAGCCGAGTCCCTAACAGGGAAATGGAACATTTATTTCCATGCATTTTTTCCCCTCTGCTACTCCCAGTGCATGATAGGAGCCAGTAGAATCTCTCCATCATGTTTAAAGGGAGCTGGATCAAAGAATTGCAAATCCTTAGCACTGGTATGGAAATCACGCTGCCTCTCTGCATGTATTGGACATACATGTTTATAACAGAATAATTTCTATTTACTGATAAAGGTAATTTTTAGCATTTATATCTCAACTTTCATGGAAATCATATAAAGAAACATGTAAACAGCATGGTAGTGTGATGCTCATCTTGCAGATAGCAAGCAGAGGTCCAGGGGTGTCCATTTTTAAGATCCAGCATTCCCACTGCCTTTGCTCAAGGACAGACCTTTAGACGTGCTGGAGACACTAAAGCCAGCAAGAGGCAAAATCAGGCTGATCTCTTTGAATGTTTGAGTGCATATAACCCTTCAAGCTCACCAGAAATCCAGAGCCAAAAAGAGAAGACAACAATTCTCATTTCTGGTTATTCCCAAATATATGAACCAGTCCTACATCACTGCTTCCCACCTCCCTTGGAGCAACACTTACTTTTCCAACACAGAGCAAAAAGTCTTCCAAAGATTAAACTCCCTCACTGGTTTACAATCCATTCTGAAACAAGGGAAGATTAAGTGGCCATGATTTTAGATTTCTATAATGCTTCTTTTTCCTAATATTTGCCTTTCAAAATGAAAGTCAGGAGTTTCAGAGCCTCAAAACCATATGATTATATTTTAGCACACTGTCATAATCATTGTGGCTGTTCACCCCCTCAGAAAGCTAAAGTGCCTTGCACATTTTGCAGTTTATAAACAATACAAACCTTTCCCCAACCTTGCTTGTGACTCCATTTTAAGCTTCCAGTGTTGATTTGCTGTTGCTTTTAGTTTAAAATTCCACCCTGTCATCTTAGGAACTCCATCCGCTCACTTCTTCAACAATAAACAATAAAAGGAAATGGAATAAATTCCCCTTAATTAGGAAATTTTCACCTGGCACAGAGGACCTGGGGAAATCTATTAACTGACTGTAGGAACGCTGGCAGCATTGCAATTATCAGGAGAGCCTGCTCTCTTCAGCGCAGCCCTCTCTTCCACTTGACCAGCTTTCATCTGATCCACCAGTTTAGGAGTAATACTAAATAAACATGCCAGCAGAAAGTCCCTGCTTGATAGGGGAAGAAACACTCTTTTTCTTGTCTCCCAAATCAGGCTCTGCTTCGTTTTCTGTATGTTGCCAAGTTTATGCCCATTCACATATTACTTAGGCTGATGTGAATGGGTCTTGATCAAAAGGACCAGGAATATTTTGTGAACAAAGACCAAAGCCCGAGCTGGGAGCATTTGGGACACAGCTACTGTGTCAGTTAACAATTGCCCTGTAAGCCCACAGGCTCACCTTGCAGGTCACCTCTGCTTCATCTCGGCAGCTACACGTGTGGCTTGGATATGCACAGAGGAGCTGCAAAGATGAGCAAGATCCAGCTCAGCCCACCTCTCTTGAACTCAGCTCCTCCGTACTCTGGAGGGATTTAAACCCAGACTAAAATTTAAGCTCAGTTTCACTTTGACAAGCAAAGTTTCACTTTGGCAAGCAAGAAGTACTGGAAGCAAAATGCCTTATGCCCAATCCTTAGAGAGCTCTTTGCTTCTCAGTAGTCATAGGCCTGGAGGGTTTCAAAAGCCTGCTTGATTTCAGGCTGGATTGCGTACAAAGACATATTGTTTTTCCTTTCCTCATTGTCCTGCTCTGTTTCAAGGCTCCTAGTGGCTTCCTTGATTACTCCTGATATTTTACAAGACTTTGAACATGCTACAACTAAAATAATGAGATCAGGGTAAAAATTCTCTCCCCCGCTTCTCTTCTCAGGGAGATAGATTGTTACTGGTTTTATCCTCCTGAGAAAGTCATGAGATGACTGATAAAAAGCTGTCAAAGGAGCTTTCAGGGAAGCAGGAGCAGTAAACCAACAAATCTCACTCACTGAGCAACTGCCACTCCAGCATCTGGACCTTTAACATTCCGGTTCCCTGGCTAATAAATCTCATTCTGGACATCTTGATTTAAGTAATGTGAACCTCACACTGTGCCCTAAGACCTCAATGACTCACTCAGAGGATTAAGTGATGCACTGAAGCAACAGCTC